AAAAAAACACCGCACTCAAAAGAAAAAAAAAAAAAAAAGGGGGGGGGGGGGGGGGGGGGGGGGGGGGGGGGAGGGGAACTAATCAACTCCTACTGCCACTCCTCAGGACAATAATAAACATATTCCTTTTGGGATTTTAATTTTAAATTCTTTATATACTGTAGAATGATTTACCCAACAAGCAACTGTTTCTTACGTAGCAAGATGCACCTCAACCACATGCTTTTTATAGCCATCAGCAATATTCAGCCATAATTCTGGCTGAATATTTGACCACTCTACTTGGCAGAATTATTGGAGCTCATTTAAACTGATTTTATTCCTGGAACAGATTGAGGATACAAGCATAACCCACAAACTGTAAATGTGTTGAAGAGATCATCCTAATGGTAGTCTGCCTTGATCACTGCCAAACCAGTTCTGATGTGTGTTTAAGGTCAATGGACCTTAAACACACATCAAGGTTTTGGCTGTCTAGCCAATGATGTGAAGTGAGGTAGTCTGCCCTCCTCATGCAGACTATCTTGACACCTCCAAACATCCATCTTCTCAAACTGATCAAACCTCTCAAGGTTTTTTTTTTTTCTCTCTCTCTCTCAAAATCGGTTTGGTTTGCCAATTGGTTGTTGCAAATTTCAGTTCAGCTTCAAAGTGTTGACTTTGGTTCCATCTTGGTAGGAACCATTTCCATGTGAATACAAAGAATCACTGGTTTCCAAGCTTTTTACAGTTCATGGCAAGCATGGTGAGTACTGGATCGCTGCTGCGGGTGGTAGTTTGGGCCTTTATATAGACCCTGGCAACTTGGTGATACATCAGAAGAACTTCTATTTATGTAAAGTTGTTTGAACTGATGATCTAAATTCACTGCTGTTTAAAATGGCTTTAAAAGACTTTCCCAGCTTGTGTGAATATACAACTCTCCTTTTAGGATTTTGACTGTTGTTTCCAATTGTTCTAAGAAGCGGTCACTCCTAGTGCCAAATAATATCAAATATGTTTCTTTCATGCTGGCAAAGAGAAACGAGAGCCTGCCAATCAGTTGTTGACCTTTGCAGAACCCTCAGAAAGATTAAGGTGATCTTGTAAATACTTAATGCTGTGTGAGTAATTATGAACCTCCACAATATAGTCAAGCATGTGTAAGCAATTCTTATAAAAAATATTACAATAGTGTGTTTTATAGTCCTTCATATAAATCAAAAATAGCCTTGATATGTGGAAAAAGACTACCTTTTTTAATGTTTTTCTAAAAGCATTTCACAATCTGCTTGCAACACAACTGAGCATCGGAACAACCTTAGAGGAGGCTGGGAATCTGGCTGAAGACTGATACATCTTCATCTTCCTCAACAAAATGATTTAGACACTAAAATAATAGATGCTATAAAATAAGAAATAACTTAAACATGACATGACATCATTTTGGACTAGTTTCTGGTGAAAATATCTTAGTACACTTGAAATATGTATAAATAACTTGTCAGCAAGATATTATTTTCAGCAACAATAATACCTATACTACAGGATTTTTTGTTTTAAGTCAATATTTCCTATTGCATAATCCTACAATATTGATGAAAAAATACTAGTTAAGTTGAAAGATAATTGTAATTTTAACAAGACATTTTTCCCTTATTTGTGAAATAATTTGCCAGTGGAAATTGTACTTTTTCATAAAAACAAGCTCCCATATCTCACTGAATAGTTACATCTAAGTTAATTTTGACTTATTTTAAGTGTACTAAGATATCTGCACCAGAAACTGTTTTTGCAGTCTTTGTATTAGTGCAGTGAAGATTTTATGTGTTTTTGCTTTTTTGTTGTATGAACACAAAATGCAGGCACCAAGCCATCTATCATGTTTCTGGACAGAAAGAGCCATTATTCACAAATGATAAAAGAAAAATACTGAACAGTGGTGAATTTTTCAAGGAGTGACTGGCCAACCAAAATTACTTTAACAATGTATTATTAACTCATCCAGGAGTCTACAGAGGAATGTAGAGGAACATATAAAGCACTGCAGGTCACATCTGCCTCAGTCAGAGTCAATGTTCATGATTCAACAATGAGAAAGAGTCTGGACAACAATTGCATCAAAGAATGGCCAAAACTGCTGTGGAAAAAAAATTAACCCAAAGACCTGCTTGAATAAAACTTGTTTAACTGTGACAAAAAACAATTATAAATTTACTTGTAAGAACTGCAACTGTAAATTCCCAAACAAATAAAAGAAGATTGATAACTTGCTGCACTGAATACGCCTGTCATTTTCGCATCACAGGCCAAGCTCCTCTGCAGATTTGTGATGCATCAAATATTTTAGTCATAGACATAGGCAACCGGGAAGGGAAGACAGTGAGGAAATGAACACAAAGCTTGAGGAAGAGGGATTTAAAGGCTTTAAGTGATGCAGGACTCACATGAAAGGTATGATGGATGCGCGGGGCCAGGTTCTCTGCCTTAACATTCCATATCACAGGTTGGGGGGAGTTAAGCACAAAGACCAAGCGCTTCTGGTGCTGGCGCACGGACTGGATGGGCTTGAGATGCAGCTCAACCTGGTGAGAGGAGGAAATAAGAAACAGAGAGGGTTCCCATGAGAAAGACAGCAAGATTTCCTTTTCACAGCGGTGGAACCAATAGTGCACATCATGATCTCTTTTCAATTACAAATACATGACATCAACATCAAACCTTTGGATTTTCTCCTTTTAGCAAGAAATAGGCAAAACAAAGGGACTATGATTGTGTAAACACAGATTTATTGTGTTGTAGATTGTTCCTCTTTATCTGGCTTTTGGGGCTGTTTCTGAACTTTACTGATAAAGTGGAGAAAGACAGCACGCTGGGTTCTCCCTAAAAGGATCTTGCTTTGCTCTGATATGCATCCTCAGAGGGATCTGAACTCTCACACAGTGGAGTCTTTGTTAAAGGCAGAAAGCATAGTAAGTGGCTGGTCTCTGTTGTGATCTCTACAGCAATGCAACTATGTGTTTGGTTCTCATAACGCTATTCAAACAGATTTTCACTGCTAGAATGAAGGAAAGAAAACAAACTTTCATGTGGGACCTTATTTTGTTTCCTTCTTCCCTGGATCATTTGGACTAAATACAACTCAGCATGGAAGTCCACTGAACCCAAACCCATCTGACACAAATCTGCCACTTTGTTCAGTTATCTTTCTGAACTTTTAAATTTAGACTTTAATTTGTAAGCTTTGCACCTCCAGAGTTTTCTTTCTCTCAGGCTGTTTTGGGAACGGGCTGAAAGATTTAGTGAGCTGACAGTCACACTCTTCGTCTTAAAAGGCTCCTTTTACTCACGTTAATCCAATTAGCCCCATCCAGTGTGTCAGCAGAAAAAACCAGTAAATCACAAACCCAGCCCACATTATGGGACTTAACGACCCTTGAAGTAATTTAATCAGTTACAGCTAACAAAAATATTGGTCCTGCTTCTTATGAAAACACTACCTATCATGGAGACTATTTATAGGCAAATGAAGTGATCTGATTTTTTTTTTTTTTTTTTTTTTGAGAAAATCAACAACTAAACTTTGCTGTTCTTTAATTATTAAAGATCACGGACAATCATTTGAATGATTGATGTAAAGACAAGTTAAAGCAATCTGCACATCTGCCTTAATTGTATTAACATTTTACAAACTACATGTTATTTACTTTGCACTCTTTCTTTCTTTCTTTGTGTAGCAAAAATCTTACAGGGCAATTTTCACCATGGGAGGATCAAAGCAAAGAGGAGAAATAATTAACTTTCATGCATGGACTATGTATATTATTATTCTAGTTCCAGCGCAGTGGAGGAAAACAGTCTGAATCTGCTTCAGTTATTTTTGCTTTACTTTTAATATGGTATTATTGACCTAAATAAAGATGAGCCCAGTCATAAAAGAATAACAGCCTGTCAAAAAAACCGTATCCAAAGCTCCGCACATCACATTGATTACTTATCAATCCATGATCACAAAATGGAAACCTACAAAAAACTAAGCCGTGGCTCAGGTTGGAGAAACTTCTACCAGGACAACAATTAGTTGGACATAAGTTATAAGAAGAAAGTAAGAAGTTTACCACATTTTACCATGGCAAGGCAAACATGTGGAAGAAGGTTCTCTGGTCTGAATAAAAATATCACACATTTTTTATTTTAAATAAATTTAACAAATATACACTGGTTTGTGTTGTGCTATGATCTAAAATTCAAAAAAAGTGTGCAGAATGTTGTGGTTGTAAGGTGACAAAAAGGGGAACATTTCAGGAGGTAACATATTTTTGCAAAGTTCTAGATTCATATTCATACATGAAAGTGTTTGTATAATTTATTAGCTGTTTTGTATCACTGAAATGTGTAATCATATTGTGAAGGAATGACATTGATATATCAATAAATGCTGGAGAATAATCTTGAAATGTGTACTCTGTAAAGCCAGGCTGTTTCATACCAAGTGGTTCAGAGTCTTAGAGCCATTTGTCAGTTTTCAATTTTTCAGTTAGAGCAATCACATTAATGAGGAAAAATAAGAAGTTCATATTTTCTTGTAATCACTAAAGATTCTGGCTGAAAATTAGGATCAGATGTTTTCTACTTAAGAACGTCAGTGTTTTTTTTTATTATTATGAATAAAACCACTACTGCATTTACAAAATCTATCCCTGATAAAGTAATTTAGAAGGAGAGAGCAGCACTGTGAAAAGAGAAAACAGAAGCATCAAAGCCCAAATATTTTACCCCTGGAGTAAAGGAGCACAAAGCAGAACGTTTAAAAACGGCAATGCTGCAAGAATCATTGAGATGTTCCTTTGAGACAGGAAAATGGAAGAAATTACCAAACACTTATCTATGAGGCAATCTGGATGAGGATCTAAATAAACAGATCACAGACTCGCTGTCTTTCCTCCAGATGCCCCCCCCTCCACCTCCTCTTCTTCACGCCGTCTTTACTCCAGACACTGGGAAAAAGTGTTGTTCCTCTGAGAATAACAACAACCGAGATATAATCATACCTGGCTTGGCTTTGAGGTCCTGGCTTTGAGAGATGGAACAGGGGGGTAAAAGAAGAATGAGAGCGAGGGGGAGACTTGTTAAAAAAAGGAGGAATTTTAAAGCCAGACAGAAACATTTCCAGAAGACGTGAGTCACCTGAGCACACAAGCATAAACAGAGCACTGAGACGGGGACCTGCCAGGAAGCAGTGAGGGTCGAAAAGCGTGAAAAGTGTGATAATTCTGGACAATTTCTTTTTGAGAGATTAGGCAGATAGCAGGACTGGGCTTGACTTGAGGTTGCTAATTAGTATCTAATCGCACTGAAGTGGCAAATAGAAAGACTTGACCTGGGCTCGTATTGGGAACCAAGTCTTATGAGTAATCTTTTTTTTTTATTTAAAGTGATAAAAGTCTAATCAGAGGTGTTATTGTTGTTATTTGATTAATGTTACCCCCTCTGAGTTACAATAATGTATTCTAATGAAAAATGCCTGTAAAAGGAGTTCTCAGAAGCTTCCACGTTTGTCTGATTTTATTTAACGGATCCATTAAGCAAGGATTTACAGAATGAAAGCCACAGGCCGCTACTCTGACAGCAGATTCTCCAGTTAAAGGTCCGTTGGATTTATTAACCTGGGACATTCAAAGACCCCGAGCTAGTATGGGCTCATAACAATTTGTTTACAGCTGTAGTTTTAGAATAATGAGCACACAGACATTTCTGACCAAAACAAACTTACCAAAGTCTCAGCAAATAATTTGCTGTTAAATTACCATCATAAATCAGGTCACTTCTGGTTCTTCATATTAAATGGTATTTCCTGTTTGACTCATTAAGAAGACCATATTTGACCAAGATTCGTTTGAACATAAATGCATATTTCTATGCATTTATAAATATTTTTTTAAGTAATTAAAGTATTTTCCAGACTACAAGTTGCAATTTCTTATGTGTGTGTGTAATATATATATATATATATATATATATATATATATATATATATATATATATATATATATATATATATATATATATATTTTTTATTTTTTTTTTTTTTGTATTTATTTTTTTTAATTAAAAAAAAATTAAACCCCCCCCCCC